AGCTCGCGAAATTCCTCCAAGCAGCGGATAGTTCAAGGTTGTTTGGTGTCCAGTGTGTGAACACGCAAACAGATATTGACAGAGAGTGCCTCTGACTCCCACCATTCACAATCGGAAACAAAAATTTGGACCACAACCTGTGATGCAGCAGCCGCTCGAAAACGATCAGCCGAGTGCAGCACCCGTGTGGGCAAGAGCTCGCGAAATTCCTCCAAGCAGCGGATAGTTCAAGGTTGTTTGGTGTCCAGTGTGTGAACACGCAAACAGATATTGACAGAGAGTGCCTCTGACTCCCACCATTCACAATCGGAAACAAAAATTTGGACCACAACCTGTGATGCAGCAGCCGCTCGAAAACGATCAGCCGAGTGCAGCACCCGTGTGGGCAAGAGCTCGCGAAATTCCTCCAAGCAGCGGATAGTTCAGGGTTGTTTGGTGTCCAGTGTGTGAACACGCAAACAGATATTGACAGAGAGTGTCTCTGACTCCCACCATTCACAATCGGAAACAAGAATTTGGACCACAACCTGTGATGCAGCGGCCGCTCGAAAACGATCAGCCGAGTGCAGCACCCGTGTGGGCAAGAGCTCGCGAAATTCCTCCAAGCAGCGGATAGTTCAGGGTTGTTTGGTGTCCAGTGTGTGAACACGCAAACAGATAGTGACAGAGAGCGTCTCTGACCCCCACCATTCATAATTGGAAACAGAAATTTGGACCACAACGTGTGATGCAGCGGCCGCTCGAAAACGATCAGCCGAGTGCAGCACCCTTGTGGGCAAGAGCTCGCGAAATTCCTCCAAGCAGCGGATAGTTCAGGGTTGTTTGGTGTCCAGTGTGTGAACACGCAAACAGATATTGACAGAGAGTGCCTCTGACTCCCACCATTCACAGTCGGAAACAAAAATTTGGACCACAACCTGTGATGCAGCGGCCGCTCGAAAACGATCAGCCGAGTGCAGCACCCTTGTGGGCAAGAGCTCGCGAAATTCCTCCAAGCAGCGGATAGTTCAGGGTTGTTTGGTGTCCAGTGTGTGAACACGCAAACAGATATTGACAGAGAGTGCCTCTGACTCCCACCATTCACAATTGGAAACAAAAATTTGGACCACAACCTGTGATGCAGCGGCCGCTCGAAAACGATCAGCCGAGTGCAGCACCCTTGTGGGCAAGAGATCGCGAAATTCCTCCAAGCAGCGGATAGTTCAGGGTTGTTTGGTGTCCAGTGTTTGAACACGCAAACAGATATTGACAGAGAGTGCCTCTGACTCCCACCATTCACAGTCGGAAACAAAAATTTGGACCACAACGTGTGATGCAGCAGCCGCTCGAAAACGATCAGCCGAGTGCAGCACCCGTGTGGGCAAGAGCTCGCGAAATTCCTCCAAGCAGCGGATAGTTCAGGGTTGTTTGGTGTCCAGTGTGTGAACACGCAAACAGATATTGACAGAGAGTGCCTCTGACTCCCACCATTCACAGTCGGAAACAAAAATTTGGACCACAACCTGTGATGCAGCGGCCGCTCGAAAACGATCAGCCGAGTGCAGCACCCGTGTGGGCAAGAGCTCGCGAAATTCCTCCAAGCAGCGGATAGTTCAGGGTTGTTTGGTGTCCAGTCTGTGAACACGCAAACAGATATTGACAGAGAGTGTCTCTGACTCCCACATTCACAATCGGAA